TCTTTCCTGTTCCTTAAGAAAATCTACCTTTTTATAGCCTAACATGACGTAGAATATATGTATTTCTCTTTCCCCATTACCAAAGGATCGATCACTGAAATAGCCAATAAATAAATGACAGGTGTAATGTCTTCTTTAGCTTACATACGATTAATATCGCATTTATAAGATTGGCACATTGATCTGCCTCCTGACATATGCATCGATCTAGCGATACCGTTGAACACATGCCGATTAATTCTTCCAGTGCTCACTGAATATATAATAGTAATTTAATATATTGTTGTCCGTATGGATATTGCCAAATTAGGCATTAGATGAAAGTAGTTGTTTTATCCAACAATACAAATAATATATATTTTCGAGTAAGTAAAATATGAAAAAATGTTCTATGACTTATTCGGAGTACTTGCGTGAGCAGTGTAGTCGTTATCGCTGCAGAAATTGCGATCGGTGAGAGAAAGGTGTTTTCCAAAAACTAAGCAAAGTATTAAGAAACGGAAAAAATTCGTTAGAAACGAAGAAAAAAGTGCTGAAAGTGCTATAGTATTGATGGTTCTATATATGGCAGTGAATGTTGGACAATCCACTCACAGATGAAGAAGATACTTGAAGCAAAGGAAATGTGGCTCTACACAAGGATGCTGAGAATGCTATAGACTTAACATATGAGTAATGAGTCTCCAAGGACACATGGCCCAGGGGATAAAACGTTGGTTGAAGTAAACTAAAAAGTGACTTGACCCAAAGCCTAGGGAACAAAAAACAACTTGGAATATTGAGTTACTAAAGGGAATTAACTGATACTGTGATATCTCTTCCAAAGGCATGGCACGTGAAATTAGAACAATCTACCCCCATGGACTAAATAAAGGGTTTGGTTCGAAATTCCAACGTATATTACCTGAAGAAGGCCAAAAAGTGAAATGTAGAAGCTTTAAAGAAAATAGAAACAAAAATTACTCTTATACTTAGAAAAGATACACTCGACATATCTAGGACATATAATGATGGAAGCCAATGATATATTTAAACGCAAATATTTTCTCTTCTGCTTTAAATCTACAAATAATATTTATATCATATTGTTTTCCATTCTTTCAATCGTCTTGGGTATGATGATAAACTACATCCGGCAGCAAGGACTCTGATCGGGAAGTTTTGAGAAGTGTGAAACCACCACTTAATTGTTGATGTTCCCAGATCTAATCTGACTCGGCGCGGTAGCACCCGTTAGGGCCCCAGCTATGGGCAAATTAGTTAACCCTGAACTGGGGTCAAAACATTATGAAAGTGTGAAAATAGGTTTTTATTGTGAAAATACCAGCAATATATATATTTATACCAGCAATACATATTTTTAAAAAGATTACCAGCAATACATTTTTCGAAAAAATATTATTACCAGCAATACATTTAAAAAAATATTACCAGCAACACTTTCTTGAAAAAAATATTACCAGCAATAAAAATCTTGTTAGCATTAAATAATCCATTGAAGTTGATATCCCGTAAAACAAAACAAACAAAATCATTCTTTCAACTTCCGATTCGTAAGAAAATGATCATAAAATTAAATAATTATACCTTTCATAAATTTTTTTTTCTCAGGTGTCAGTTTTTTTTTTCCGCGATGAAATTTCAAGATAACTACTAATTGTTTATCTAACATTGTTAAAAATATAACTTTTAGATATAGCTGATATAAGGGAACTAGTTAGGGTGCATTAGGATTTAAACTGTGAGCCAGGGAAATTAAATAAATAAACAAATAAATAAAAAATAGTAAGACCGTTCTTCAATAATAAACACAGAAAATATGGCGACCTTAGTTACAAGTGTGCTTGAGTTATGAGACAAAAAAGAAAGACTTTTGATGGATTATAAAATACAGGTAAATATAACACATCCATCTGTGTCTGTTCGGACCATCACCTCTTTTCGTTTGGGATTTTTTTTTCTATTTCGGATTCTTTTATGTTATTTTATTTTTTGCCTATATTTTTCATTAATTTTGTGATCAATTTTGTCTTTTTGATCGCCTTTCTATTTATTCTTATTTGTGATTTACTTTTTTTCATTGTTTCTTGAGTTTTTGTCATCATCCTTTTCTTTTTTCTATCTTTTTATTTCTTCGCGATACCTTTAAATTGTATTTCTTTTCAAATTTATTCTTCTCTACCACACTTTCTCTTTGTCTCTGTCTCTCTCTGCCTGTCTATCTGTCTGTCTCTCTCTCCCTATATTAAGTATAAAAGAATAGAAATTTTACATTACTCTAACTCACTCATGTCTCTCTCCCCCCTCACTTCGTTAATTTGCATATGTTTAATACGGCCCGTCAAAAATGTGTAAATTTCTTTTCATTTTTTGTTTCAACCTTTGGAAGTAGTCTGATAGTCCGCAGTCCTTTAAAAGGACTGTGGTGAAATAATTTATTACATGGAACCTTAAAGTGGTCTGTTTTTATTTAAATTATTTGCTCTGGATTTACATTGAGCTCTCTGGATTTTATCCTCCTTGGGTTTAACCATACGGATTACCTAGTTTTTCATAAACTATATATATATATATTTTAGGATATTACATCGAAAACACGTCAAAATTGCTACACAATTGAAGTCGTGTTTCGATGCATATCAATGCATCTCACCAGGCTATTCTAAATTACTGGCGAGTGAACGATTTATTTAGATTTAAAAGCAAAATACAACCTCTTTTTACGAAAAATTGGAGGTTATAAGATTTGTGGGCTTTACTCAGATCAGCCAATCGAATATAACCTACGTTAAATTTAAACTAAGCAAAGAAGCAAAAATTAAGCAATTATTTTTCCACGAATTGGTCATAACCTGTAGATTGGTAGTCATTGGTAGCACAGACGTTAAACAGGAACGGATGTTAATGGATATATATTATACACACTAGACAATGTCATTTCCTATGAAAATATAAATATATGTATATATATGTATGTTATAGCCCGAGCGACGAGGTGGACTCGCCCTCGCGTGGACAAATATGAGAACGGAAAGTGGGACTATGGGAGAGAGCAAAACGTCTGTGTTTGCCAATACTCTGCCTGTCAACTTCTCTAGATGAGGCTGGACTAAAGGGCAGAGTCTCGTATGTGGAGGTAGACATGCGCGAAATTAAAAATATAAAATACCGAAATTTACCCATCGCATACTGTATCTATTTCTCTCACTCTCTCTCTCACTCTCTCTCTCTCTATCTATATATATATATATATGTGTGTGTGTGTGTGTGTATTTAGGCATCAAATTCTCTGATTGAATAAATTGCAAACATGTCTGCATATTTTTATCATAATCCTTTCATATTCACGAATATTTTTCCGTATATTACAATTAAATAAGGCAAGAAATGCGCTGTAAATTTGAGAATCACTTTTATTTCCCAAGTACAATACATATACTACCGACCAACTCTGTCACGTCTATCCAGAATAACCTATCCCATCTAAATAATCTTGAAATAGTCACAAACACTTCCAAAACCATTATGGATATACTAAGATCTTCAAACACTAATAGCAATAATATTTCTGAAGCAGGCACTTATAAAATAAATTGGTAAAACTGTTCCTCCCAATATATTGGAGAAACAAGGTAGAAGTTTTAAAAAACGCATTTATGAGCACAAAAGAGGCCTCACAAAAAACAACTTACCTAATGCACTAGTCATACATAGAAATAAATTCAACTATAATTTTGATTTTAAAAATGCTACACTCATAAAAAAAGAAAATAACTCACTCAGAAGGAAAATTCTAGAGAGTGCCGCCATAGAATATTACCCAAATATTAATCAACGCTCAGGTTTTTTCCCCATTTCACCTTTCTTATCAACATTACTCCTCTCACAAACAAATGTACACAACAGATTCACAAAATCAAAAGAAAATGGTTGAATACGTCAACACAGATATAATGACAATATTCTCCACACGTGACAAATACTGACGTTATTTTCAGTTAACAATATGAAAACAGCGTTTCTCTATATTCCAGTTGCTAGGAACATTCTGTTTTTGTTTTTATTAGTTACCTTGTTCAATTAAATTCATTTCGTATTTTGCTTTGATAAAGTGCAGATTGGACGAAACGCGTTAGCAATTACTAGTTTTCCTATTGTCCTTTTTATTCATATATATATATATATATATATATATATATATATATATATATATATATATATATATATATATATTATCTATCTATATATCAATTTATCTATCTCTATATATACCTATCTATTTATCTATATGTATATATATATATATATATATATAGTCTTTTTTTTTAAATTCCCGCCATTATTCTAGCTTTACTGTCAGTCTTGCTTTCGTTCCGTTATTCTCTTTTGTTGGCCGTCTTCCTTTATTACCTGTATTTTTTCTGCTTTCTCGGTCTTCACTCAGTGAATTACAAATAACTACATATTAAACAGGTCACACTCTATAATCAAGGGAGATACGAAACCGCCTGCCTACTGTTTCGTATAAACATTAACACGATCATAAATAAACGCCGTAAATTATGACGATGAAACATTAGATGAAGAGGTGAATGTAGAACATGTATCGGTATTTACAATCTCACATCAACGCATATCAGTTTCGAATCCTAACTAATCTAAAAACGGCTATTTTTAATGGCTCAGCGTCTATGTGAATATAAAGACGAGGATTTTCAATTCATCGGTTATTCACTTATGTCTATCCTGTATCCGCCATTTTTATTTCCTCTTTGCTGCAAAGTGACCGAAACTTTTGTTGTCTTATTAATACTGAATCCTTGTATATTTTAACTCATTCAAAGTTGTTTTTCAGCTTTCATAAGCATTTTTATTCATTCTGTAATAGTTTTCCTTTCATTTTTAACTGTTTTTACTTTATTGTATTACTGGAAATTAATTTTAGACGCACCAAGCGTCACAATGTGTGTGTAGAAGACACATTGTAAAGCTCTCCGCGC